GAAGATGTCTTCGCGGACGGCGCTGGCTCCGGGCAACGATCGGAACTCGGACACGGTGAGTGGGGCCCGGCCCCTTGGGGAGCCCCGGCCGGGTCCAGCCGCCGAATCCTTCCCCTGTCGTGCCCCTCGCCCCGCAAGCCGCTACCCTCATCGTCCCGGCCCCGCTCGCCACTCCCGACCCCTTCCCACACCGCCAGGCCTCTCGGCCTCCCCCCCACTCCCCCGAGCCCAGCCCGACCCCTGGGGGCGCCCCTCTCCCGGGACCCTTCTCTGTCCCTCTGCCGGCGGCTTCCGCTCGGGTCTCTGCTCTCCAGGAAGCCCCCTCCCCTGCCTGCTAGGAGCCCCTCCCTTCTCTGGCGTGTTTAAACCCCTTCCCCTCCAGACTGGCAGCATCCGACAGCTGGCCCCTCCCGGATTTGCAGGGCCCCTGACCCCCCAGGCCCAGCCCTGGCCCGCTCCCAGGAAGGCCTGGCCCAGCCCTGCCTCCGGCTCTGCCCTTCCCGGTCTGGGTCTGGTGCCCTGCTGCCCCAGAAGCCCCCCACTCCCATTCCTGCCCCTTGGTCCCTCCGGTATCGTTCCGGCCCCTTTGGGCAGCCCCTCACAGGAAGCCGGTCCCACCTTTCCTCCCCACCTTTCCTGGGCCCAGGGCCCTTTTTTTGCTTTTTCAAGGTCTCTCCACTCTCTGGCCTTGTCTCAGCTTCCCAGCAGCCCTGTCCCTGGATTCCCAGAAACCCGGGTACCCCCCCACCCAGACCCTGCCTGGACCCTCTCAGGCCTCTTCCTCTCCCAGGAAGCCTTGGCCTCCAACTTCCCAGGCTCCCCAGCCCAATCTGGAATTTCCAGACCCTGATCTACCTGACTGCAGGCCTCAGCCTCTTTGTAGCGACTCTTCAGCTTCAGGCAAGCCCCTTCCCCAAACCCCTAACTCTTAACTCTCTCCAAGGCCTGCCCAGGCCCCTTCCTCACAGGCCACCATCTCCTCCCCTAGATTTCCAGGCTCCACCCCTTGTCCTGCCCCAAGGCCTCCACCATCCATGCTGGGGACCTGGCCTGCCAGGGAAGCCCCCTCCTCAACTTCAGAGGCCTTCCTCAGCCCACGAGGCCTGGCCCCAGACCCTCTTCCAGAAGACTCCTGGATTTGAAGTCGCTGCTCCTGCCTTGGCTTTAAGCCCTCTTCTCTTAGGCTCTGTCTGCTGGAAGCCTTCTCCCCAAATTTCTAGGCCTCTTGACCCTCCACAGGCTCAGCCTTGCTTCCTTTGGACTGCCCTTTGCACCAGAAGCCCTCTTCGCCAGGGCTGCTCCAGAAGCCCACTTCTCTGATTTCTAGGAATTTCCCCAAGACCCAGACCCCTAGCCCAGGAATCCCCAACCCTTGACTTCCACTGTCCCTGTGGTTTTGTTCCTTCCTGCCAAATCCCCTTCCCCGAATGCCCAGGCCCTCCTACCCCTACAGCACAGCCCAGAACAATCCCAGTGAGACCCCCCTCCCTGTTCCCCATATTTCTGGTCACCCAGCCCTTCCAAAGATCTTCCCATCAACCAATCCCAGACCCCTCCCCAGCCAGGGTCTTTATCCCTTTTCCCCCAGGCCTTCTGCCAGGTCCCTGCCACTCAGAGCTGCCCTCACCCCAGATACCCCATCAGAGAAATTCATCTTTGCTTCTTCTTCATCTCACGGGACCCTCTCTCAGAGATCTCCAATTTGAAGTCTGATGAGAGGCCTACCTCCCTTCCCTAGTCACTACAGTCCTGGGTTCAAATCCTGACTTTGCCAGCGGCTTGCTGTGTGTTCTCAGGCAACTGGCTTTCCCCTTTTTGAGCCTCAGTTCCCTGCTCTGGAAAATGGGCATGATCCCTGGACTCCATGACGATGAGGGTTAAGCCTGGCACATAGGCAGTGCTCCACAAATGTGAGCTGTGATTACAACTCAGGAGATGAGTTAGGGGGTTGTCACTTCCCCGCCCAGGGCTCCCTGCCGTGAGCCTCAGTTTCTTTATCTCTGAAATGGGATTGATGATCGCATTTCCCTGTTAGGGATGTTTTAAGAAGCCAAGATTCTGTAAATACGGTATTGTAGCTGTTATTGTTATTATGACTTTAGTTATTCGCATTAACTTAGGTTCAGATCTGGTTTCTGACCCTCCCTAGTTGTGTGACCTCAGGCAAGTGACCACACCTCTCTGAGCCTCAGTAAAATGGGACTCATGAAGACTTCCTCCTTTTGTGGTTCAAATGTGTGCGTAGTGGAGGTTCGAGGACAGCTAATCCCTTTCTCCTTCCCCCTAAATCTTGTCAGCAATACTTGTGTGTCCATCTTGGGGGTCTCTTCAGAATCTGGGGGTCCTCTTTGCAGACCCTTCCTCTTCCACCTGGTTACCATGATGATAGGCCACGTGGGGTCGTGCTGCCCTACCTCGGGCCCCTACCACCCAGCTTCTCCCTCTCCGGAGGTTCCCTAGCAACAGACTCAGTGGTGTTGGGGTGCCAGCCTGGCGGGAGGGAGCCGGGCCAGCTGGTGGTGCCAGCCAGTTTTAGCTCCCACCCCCGGCCCCTGGGGTCTTCATCACCCACTGCCCCAGCTGCCCCTCGCCGGGGTCCCTCAGCCACACTGCCTGCAGTGAGGTGCCAGACCATCCCCAGGTCGGTCCCCTGGTGCCACTGATGGGGAATTCTTCTCTAAGCTCTTATCTCAGTGGAGATGGAGTCTTTATCAGGGCCAGGATCTCCACTTCCCTCCTCACCCTCCCCTGGGAGGAGGCCTGGGGCTCTGAGCCACCAGGAGGATGTGGAGAAGAGCTGGGAGCTCTGGAGTCAGCAGGCCTGGGTTCGAATCCCTGTTCTGCTCCACATGCCCTTTGACCTTGGGCAAGGTGCATCACCTGCCTGAGCCCTGGGGTCCCCGCTACAGGATGTGGGCAGTAATTAGACCCACACTGGAGGCCAGGGCAAGGGTCCAGTGGACAGAGGGCATGGAGTTGGGGCTCAGGCAGTGGTGGTTTCTGCCCCCAGTCATAGGAGCATCGTGTCTCTGCCACTCGTGAATGAACCATGACCTTGACAAAGCACTTCCTCTCTCCAAGCCTCCGTCTTCTGCTCTGGAATATGGGGCTGCAGATGCCTCCCTCATTGGGCTGCTGTGGGATTTGAATGTGGGTGAGGTGCTTATTAGCATGGGACTTGGCTTGTAGCAAATGCTGCCTAATAAGGATGATGGTGATGTGGGGGCTTGAGGCAGCACAGGGGGGCGGCAAAGAACATCAATTCCAGGGTGGACTGTCTGGGTTCAGAGCCTGACTCTGCCCCTCCCAGCCTGTGTGACCTTGGGCAGGTGACTTCACCTTTCTGACCCTCAGTTTCCCCACCTGTAAAATGAGGATGATAGCTGTACCTACTCCCCAGGGTTATTGAGAGGGTTGCAATGTGTGGTACGAAGGTTGTGTTCGTTAAATGTTGTGGCCTGTCAGGGAGGTGGGCCCGGGCACTCAGCTCACTGGCCACCCGGTCACCTCTGTCTCTCGGTTCTCTTTGTCCCCTTGCTCCTGCTCCCCAGCCCTGGGAAGGGCACAGGGGCAGCATGGGGTGTGGACAGAGCAGCGCTGTCCTGGTTGGGGCCTCCAGCTCCCTCGGCTGCCTGTACCCTGGGCCCCGGCGCTGAAAGGGAGCTACAGTCCCTGGGGCTCACAATCAGGACAGGGCAGCCTGAAGCAGGCAGGTGACCTGCGGGGGAGAGAGGCCCAGGAGGGACAGGACAGCAGGAACAGGACGTCGGGGACAGACAGGACTGGTGGTGTGGGAGACAGCGGGTCAGGGCACAGCTCACGCAACAGAGTTTCATGTGGCTGGTGGAGGGCAGAGCTCAAGCAACAGTGTTTCATGTGGCTGGTGGAGAGCACAGCTTAAGCAACAGTGTTTCACGTGGCTGGTGGAGGGCAGAGCAGGGAAGCAACAGTGTTTTTCCCAGAAGGAAGGTGACAGCAGCTGGAGTGGAGTGTTTAGGACGAAGTGATGTTTGGAAAAAGGCTGTTGGTAGCAGTGTTTGCAATAGGATTCAGAATAAGATAAAATGTTAGGGACAGTAAAATTGGGAATAAAATGTTGACATTTGGGTTTGGATTAGAATTTGGGGAGTAGAATGGGGACTGTGATGGATAGAATAGAATGTTGGGAGCAGTGATGGGGTTGAGTGGTGTCAGGAGTGGTAATGGCTGAGGTGGAGTTTTGGGGGTGGTCGAGTGTGGGGACAAGTGATGGTTGGTGGAGCATGGGGACAGGTGATGGTTGGTGGAGCATGGGGACAGGTGATGGCTGAGGTGGAGCCTGGGGACAGGTGATGGTTGAGATGGAGCGTGGGGACAGGTTGATGATTGGGGTGGGGCGTGGGGACAGGTGATGGTTGGTGGAGCATGGGGACAGGTGATGGTTGAGGTGGAGCATGGGGACAGGTGATGGTTGAGATGGAGCATGGGGACAGGTGATGATTGGGGTGGTGCATAGGGGCAGGTAGTGGTTGGCGTGTAGTGTTGGGGGCGGTGGTGTTTGGGGAGGAGTGTGGGGACAGGTGGTGTTTGGGGTGGAGCATGGGGACAGGTGATAGTTGAGGTGGAGCATTGAGTCTAGATTGAGGTCAACACTGGAGCTGGGGGCTGTGTCATTTAGAATAGAATATTGTGGATGTGATGGGAATGTCAGGAATTAGAACAGGAAGATGGAGATAGGCTGGCTGAGTAAAGGGTGAAGAGGGGTTCACCAGTCTGGAGCCCTGGGTGCTGCAGTGTTACGGGCCCAGATGTTTTTGTTCTTGAAGACATCATGTAGAGGGAGACGGGGACCTCCAGGCATCATGATCCTCCATGGCCTGGGTTAGAAAATGGCCGCCAAGGGGTCGATGTCCAGGGCTAGAGTTGAGGTGGGTACTGCTGAAGGTGGGATTGCACGAGCGCTGCCCTCCAGCTCACGTTCCATCTTCCCCCACCCAGCATGGTACTTTGGGCAGCGGTCGCTCCTCAGACAAAGGACCGTCCTGGTCCAGCCGCTCCCTGGGTGCCCGTTGCCGGAACTCCATCGCCTCGTGTCCCGAGGAGCAGCCCCATGTGGGCAACTACCGCCTGCTGAGGACCATTGGGAAGGGCAACTTTGCCAAAGTCAAGCTGGCTCGGCACATCCTCACCGGCCGGGAGGTGAGTGTGTGGCTGCAGACCGAGCTCAGGGACAACCCTTGTGTCCCAGAGCAGGCAGCCCAGTCTGGCCCTCAGTTTGCTTTGGGACCTTAGGCGAGTCCTTGACTCTCTCTGGGACAAAACAGAGCGTCTTTTGCTTTTTCCAGAGCAGCCCTAGCAGGAAGAGAACTCATTGTTGGTATCCCTGAAGTTGTCAAGAAAGCTCTGCAGAGCCACGTGTAGTATTTCTAAGAATTCACGTAACTTTTGTGTCTGAACCTTGGCCACCTCCCTGTTTTAATGATGGACTTTGATTCTACCATATATTCCCGTCATGTTGATGAGAACACGCCAGGTTTATTGGCCTTGAGTTCTCAATTACACCCCCACTGCCCCTGCCTCGCCTTCTGGCATGGGCCCATGTACTGAGAAGGATGGAAAGATTATTGCAGAAAGGGCCCGTGCAGACCTTGTAATCCAGAGGTGATGCGTCTGACTCACACTTAGAGAAAAAAAAGATGGTAGGTGGTTTCCTGATTCCTTTCCGGACCCCTTCAGCTTTAGAGAAAGTGACTGGAGTAATTTCTCCTACTTTAGATGGACTATTCCCTGTTCCCACACTGTCCTCCACACCATACATGCAAAAGACACCTGGCCCTGATGGTTTTATGGGCAAATTCTAGCAAACTTTCAAATTTCATGCCAATTCTTCTAAAGAAAGAGATTCCAGTGCTCAACTGATTTTATGTGCTTGTTTGACCAGGAGAGCAAAACTAGACAAGGAACAAAATTATAGGCCAGTCTTATGAACTTAGATACAAAAATCTTAAACAAGATTTTAGCAGATAGAATCTGGCAAACCGATTGAAGAAAGCTGTGTGGTGACAAAGCTGGGTTTATCCCAGGAATGCAAAATTCTTTCCCATTTGCCAATTTATTCATGCACTTCACCACATTCACAGATTAAAGGAGAGAAACCATATGATCGTCTCGATACTGGCATAAGGAGCGTTTGACAAAATTAAAAACCCATTCGTAAGAATATGCAGAAAGCTCAGGGACCCCTCTCCCCCACAAAGAACGCGTTGTTTCCCATATGTGGCTTTTGTACATGATTCCAGGGATTTCTGAGAGGATCGGCTTTTAAGGGAAGGAGGCCTGGTGGCTCATTGGTTAAAGCACTGGGCTGCTAACCAAACAAGTTGGCATTTCGAATCCACCAGCTGCTCCAAAGGAGAGAGATGTGGCATTCTGCTTCCGTAAAGATTTACAGCCTTGGAAACCCTGTGGGGGCGGTTCTACTCTGTCCTCCTATAGGATCACCATGAGTTGGAATTCACTCGACGGCAGTGGGTTTTGGTTTGGTTTTGGGCCTCCCAGGGGAAGAATTCTTTAATTTGGTGGATATGGGGTTTTTCTGGGGGTGGTCCCAAAACTTTTTGTGAAAACTATAGCTCTAGGGCTGGATTAAGGAGTTCTTGGGTGATACACACAGTTAATGTGTTTGGCTGCTGACTGAAAGGTTAGAGCTTTGAGTCTACTCAGAGGTACCTCAGAGAAAGGTCTAGTGATCTACTTCCGAAAAACCAGCCATTAAAAACCCTGCGGAGCACAGCTCTACTCTGACACACATGGGGTTGCCATGAGTCAAAGTCAACTCAGTGGCAGCTGGGTTTTTTTAGGGCTGTATTAAGACTTTTAGCAGCCTCTTAACTACTGAAAAAATTATGGTTCTCTCTCAATGCAATCAGAAATAAAGATTAAACTACAAAATAAGTGTAAAACATGATGATTTTTCCCCTGTGAGGACTACCTTACTGCTCTTTCAAAAATACATTTTTTAAAAAGTGCCCAGCGTTTAAGAGGTAGACCCGGCCAGCTGCATAAGTTCAAATCCCGGCCCACAGCTCACTAGCCATGGAACCTTGCCCCAGTGGTGAGCTGCTCTGTGCCTCAGTGTCCCCATCTGTAAAATGAGGGTGATCCTGGAACTCATCTCTTAGGGTTATTGTGAGGGTTAAATGAATTCTCATCGGTGAAGCACACAGACCAGGGCCTGGCACATAGTAAAACCCGTTGCTGTTGAGTCTATTTCAATTCATAGCAACCCTATAGGACAGAGTAGACCTGCCCCATAGAGTTTCCAAGGAGCAGCTGGTGGATTCGAACTGCTGACATTTTGCTTAGCAGTCAAGGTCTTGACCACTCTGCCACCAGGCCTTCAGCACAAGGTAAGTACTAGCTACAGCTATTATTTATGACTTCACCGTCCATGCATTTAAAACAAATATGTGCTGGATGGATGATCTGAGATGCCCTCACATACACTCACAGGCCCCTGGAGCAACCTCACCCAGGCCCCACCATGGAATAGGGGTAGCACCGGAGACAGAGGGAACATCATGTGCAAAGGCCCTGCAGCCCGGGTCTCCTTCCCCCACTCCCACCAAAGTCCGTCCTCTAGGAATAGCCCAGCTTTAGTGCTCCCTGTGAGAGGGAAGGGACAAGGGAAGGGTGTCCTGGGGTGGTCTAAGCTGGGGGACCTTTCCTCAACCTGAGGGCCTATCAGGTTGACCCTTCCTCTCTCCCTCCCTTACTCCACCCCCAGGTTGCCATCAAGATCATCGATAAAACCCAGCTGAACCCCAGCAGCCTGCAGAAGGTGAGCCCCAGGGAGAGGGGATGAGGGGTGGGGGGCGGGGGTTGACAAGGCCCCCAGAACAGCCAGGTGACCCGCCCAGCCCCTCTGCCCTCCTGATCGTGCCCAGGTGTGTAGGTAAGAGGGCAGGCAGGTGGGAGGTGCACAGGAGGGTGAGTAAAAAGGCATGTGGGTATCCAGGTGTGTAAGAGGGTGGGGGAGCCCGGGTGTGGGTATGTAGATTGGTAGCCGTGAGGGCTTGAAGATACCCAGAGGTGTGGGTAAGAGGACAGAGGTCCCCAAAACTGGCCAACCTCACCCACCCTTCTTGTCTTCCCTTTCCGCCATGCCCAGCTGTTCCGAGAAGTCCGCATCATGAAGGGCCTAAACCACCCCAACATCGGTGAGGAGGGGATGGGAGTGGGCTCAAAGGCAGACCACCAGCTGGAGTACTTGGAGAAAAGAGAGGATTAGGGGGAGGAGGGCCAGCCATTATACTAGTTAGAGAGAGCTGGTTTCTCATAGTGACATCTTTGCTTACTGGCGTTGTGACCTTGCGAAAGTCACTTAACCTCTCTGAGCTTCTCCTTCCTTATAAGAGGCCCTACTTCAGGGTCATTGTGAGGACTGGAGAAGGTCATTCATGCAAAATACTTGGTGCAGGGCTAAGTTATCAGATTCTACTTGGCAAAATAGAGAGTCAGCAAGAAGAGGAAGACCCTCAACAACATGGATTGACACAGTGGCCGCAACAATGGGCTCAAACGTAGCAATGATTGTGAGGATTGTGCAGGACTGGACAGCATTTCCTTCTGTTGTACATGGGGTTGCTGTGAGTCGGAACCAGCTCAACAGCACCTAACAATAACAGCAGGCTATCAGAGCTGGTCTTATGATGCTCATTAGCGGCATCATCATCATTGCCATATTGTTAGGCAGAGGGGGGAGAAGGGGGGGGTCTTTACTGAGAGAAGGCAGATTTAGCCTGGCCTGGATGTGGCTGAAGGGAGCCCTGGTGATGCAGTGGTTAAGCACTCAGCTGCTAACCGTAAGGTTGGTGGTTTGAACCCACTAGCAGCTCCATGAAAGAAAGATGTGACAGCTTCCGTAAAGATTACAGCCTTGGAACCCTATGGGGCAGTTCTACTCTGTCCTACAGGGTCACTATGCGTCAGAATCAACTTGATGGCAATGATTTTTTTTTGGCTTTTGGATGTGGCTGCAGCATTTCTTCATCTGTTCATTCATTTACTCAGTAAATTTTTTTTTTCTCTTTTTTAGATGAAGGTTTACAGAACAAATAGTTTCTCATTAAACAGTCAGTACACATATTGTTTTACGACATTGGTTAACAACCCCGCGACATGTCAGCACTCTCCCTTCTTGACCTTGGAGGACTTTTTTTAATTTTTTTTTGGTGAAAATATACATAGCCAAAGTTACACCATTTCAAAAGTTTCTATGTGTCCAATTCAGTGACATTGATTACATTCTTCCAGTTGTGCTGCTATTCTCACTGTCTTTTTCCAAATTATTCCATCACCATTATCTTCAACTCACTACTCCCTAGGCTTCCTGTCAAACCTTTTGAGTTGCTATTGTCAGTTTGATCTCACAGAGATAATTTTTTTTTTTTTTGTACCTTAGATGAAGGTTTACGGAACAAATAGTTTTCCCATTAAACAGTACGCATATTGCCCTATGACAATGGTTAACAACCCCGTGACATGTCGACACTGTCCCTTCTCAACCTTGGGTTCCCTATCACCAGCTTTCTTGTCCCCTCCTGCCTTTTAGTCCTTGTCCTTGGACTGCTGTGCCTCATTAGTCCTGTTTTGTTTTATGGGGCTGTCCAGTCTCCAGCTGAACACTGAACCTTGGGAGTGACTTCACCGCTGAGCTAAAAAGGTGTCTGGGGGCCATACTCTCGGGGTTTCTCCAGTCTTTCAGGCCAGTAAATCTGGCCTGTTTTTGTGAGTTAGAATTTTGTTCTACGTCTTTCTATAGCTCTGTCCAGGACTTTTTTTTTTTTTGGTGAAAGTATACATAGCCAAAGTTACACGACTTCAAAAGCTTTTACATGTACAATTCAGTGACATCGACTACATTCTTCCAGTTGTGCTGCTATTCTCACTACCCTTTTCCAGATTATTCCATCACCATTATCTTTAGCTCACTGCTCTCTAGGCTTCCCATGAAACCTACTCAGTAAATTTTTTTTTATTGAGTGGCTACTAGGTGCCAGAAACTGGGGAGACAGCTGAACAAAACAGACTCAAATCCCTGGCCTCATCAAGCTGACATTCTAGTGAGAGAGAAAGTGGAAAAGGTGGGGCCAGGGAGTTTGGAAAATCTTGCCAACAATTGGGAGCCATCGAGGGTTCTTGAGGAGAGGCGGTGCGTAGTCACTGGGCGGGTGGAGAGTGGGGATCTCTTCCCACCTGACCCCTTGCCCATTGGTTGCAGTGAAGCTCTTCGAGGTGATCGAGACCGAGAAGACGCTGTACCTGGTGATGGAATATGCAAGTGCCGGTGAGGCCCCACCCCTCCCCTCCCAGCGCCCCTTGCGCCCCTGCCCTGCCCTGACCTGCTCGGCCTCTGCCCTGCAGGAGAAGTGTTTGACTACCTCGTCTCGCACGGCCGCATGAAGGAGAAGGAAGCTCGAGCCAAGTTCCGACAGGTCAGGGTCAAGGGCAGGACTGTGGGGTGGGGCTCGGTGCCTGGCAGTGAGGGTCCGAGAGCTGGGTGTAGGTCTGGGTAGGGGTGAGGGTGCAGGGTTGGGTGTCTGCACATGCAGGTGCCCAGGTGTAAGGCTTTCCAGATCTGTGGGTGTGGAGGTGTGCAGGTGCCCAGCTGGGTGGGTGGGAGGATATGTAAGCACACAGGTGCTCAAGTGTTGGGTGTGTGGGTGCGAGGGTGTGCCCAGGCGTGGAAGCATGTGGATAAGGGGTCACACAGGTGCACGGGTGCCGAGGTGTATTGATTTGTAGCAGCGAGGATTAGCAGGTGTGTGAAGTAGGCTATGTGGGTGCCCAGGTATGTAGGTGTGTGGGTAGGAGAGTGGGTGGCAGCCCAGTGTATGGGCAGGAGGGGGTGCAGGGTTGCATATGTGAGTTTGTGTGCAAGAGAGCAGCCCAGGTGGGTGAGTAAGAGGTGGGAGGGGCGCAGGTATGGGTAGGGAGGTTGATGGGCAAGAGAGTGTGAGTATGCACAGGTGGGTGGGTAAGAGGACATGAGCACGCCCAGGTATGTAGGTAAGAGGGCAGGCACATGGGCAGGTGTACGGGTAGGTCAGTAAAAAGGCATGTGGGCATCCAGGTATGTAAGAGAGTGGGCAGGGGCCCAGGTGTGGGTGTATAGGTTAGTGGATGTGAGGGTGTGCAGGTGTATGGGCAAGAGGGACTCAGGGTGCTCACGTGTGTGAGTAAGGGGACATGGGAGTACCCAGATGTGTGGGTGGGGGCCCAGATGTGAGTATGTAGGTTGGTGGGTGTGAGGGCCTGAAGATGCCCAGGTGTGTGGGTAAGAGGACAACAGGTAGGAGGGTGTACAAGTGTGTGGTAAGGGGGCATGCAGGTGTAAGGGTGCCCTGATGAGTGAGTTAGCACCCATGAAAAGGTCTGAGTATAAGAGTGTCAAGTGTGGGTATGAACGTGTCCACTTAAGGCTGTCTGCCTGCCCTGATGTGCCATCCTGGGCGTGAGGAGCTGAAGCCCTGGTGTGTTCGGGCTGCGTGGTTGAGTCTGCAGGTGTGCGATGTTCTCACGAGGGTGTCCAGATGGGAGAGGCCGGAGGGATCCCGCTGTCTAGGTTCTGAGGCCCACGGGTGTGACAGAGTTCCCATCTCTGGGCATGAGGACGGCTGGGAGTGTGGTGGAGGTTTGTGTGTGAGGTCCACGAAGCATCTCTGTTGCGACAGAATTAGGGGTGAGGTTGAGGTCTTTGGGAGTCTCAACGTGTGCCTGAGGGAGTGGAGGCCTGGACTTTAGGGGTTCTGTTGTGAGTGGATCCCTGGGGTCCTTGAGGGAGGCTGAAGGGTTTAGGGGACACAAATAACTGGTCTCCCCCCTGCCACCTCCAGATTGTATCGGCTGTGCACTATTGTCACCAGAAAAACATTGTACACAGGGACCTGAAGGTAAGCCTGCAGCCATAACTCGGCCCACAGACCCCCCACGTCTCTCCTCAGCCTCCCTGCCCTTTCCTTCTGTGCTTCCCCTATACTCTCTGGCAACCCCGCCCCCTGCCATTTTCTCCTCATGCTCCTCCTTGGCACCCACAGTCCTCGGACTTTCTCAGGCTTTTGTGGCAAAAGCAAGGCCAGGAGATGGGGGCATGGGTAGGGGGGTGGGGACAGGAGGCATGAGCAAAAGGGACAGATACAAAGTGTCTTAGAACAGCCCAGACCGTTACACGGGTATCAGAAAAGGACACTGGATGTGATAAAGAGCTCCCGCTCTCAGAGCCTTTGGGGCCTTGGCATCTCTCAGGCTTTAGAACATTCCAGAGTCCTTGAACATTTAGATTTTAGAGCCCCAAGATCCTGTTGCCTCCTGAGTCTCAGAATTGCAGGGACTTTTTTTTTTTTTAATTGTTGTACTTTAAGTGAAAGTTTACAATTCAAGTTAGTCTCTCATGCAGAAATTTATACATACATTGTTATGTGACCCTGGTTGCTCTCCCTATACTGTGACAGCACACTCCTCCTTTCCACCCCTGATTTTCCGTGTCCATTCAACCAGCTCCTGACCCTCTCTGCCTTCTCATCTCGCCTCTGGACAGGAGCTGCCCATTTAGTCTCATGTATCTACTTGAGCTAAGAAGCACACTCTTCACGAATATCATTTTATGTCCCACAGTCCAGTCCAATCTTTGGCTGAAGAGTTAGCATTGGGAATGATTTTAGTGCTGGGTTGACAGAGAGTCTGGGGCCATGCTCTCTGGGGTTCCTCCAGTCTCAGTCAGACCATTAAGTCTGGTCTTTAGAATTACAGGAACTTTAGAACTTCAGAAGGACCTCTGCACGTTGTCTTAGTTTTCTAGTATGCTATAACAGCAATACCACAAGTGGGTGGCTTTGACGAACAGAAATTTATTTTCTCACAGTTAGGAGGCTGGAAGTCTGAATTCAGGGCACAGACTCTATGGGAAGGCTTTCTTTCTCTGTAGGCTCTGGGGGAAAGTCCTTGTCTCCTTTCAGCTTCTGTTCCTGAGCTTCTTGGTGATCTTCACGTGGTGTGACATCTGTTTTCCCCCATCTCTGCTTGCTTCTCTGTGCCTAATCTGCTCTTTTTATATATCAGAAGTTTAAGTGAATATAATGTATATATTATAATGTATATGTTAGCTTAAGACACACCCTACATCCATATGGTGCCATTAACATAACAAAGAAAATCCTATTCCCAAATGATATGACATCCACGGGTATGTTGCTGTTGTTGTCAGGTACCCTCGAGTCAATTTTGACTCATAGAGACCCCACGTGCAACAGAAAGAAACACTGCGCCATCATAGTTGTTGTCATGCTTGAGCCCACTGTTGCAGCCACTGTGTCAATCCATCTTGTTGAGGGTCTTCCTCTCTTTTGCTGACCCTCTACTTTACCAAGCGTGATGTCCTTCTCCAAGGACTGGTCCCTCCTGATAACACGTCCAAAGTACATGAGATGAAGTCTCACCATCCTCCCTTCTAAGGAACACCCTGGCTGTACGTCTAAGACAGATTTATTTGTCCTTCTGATAGTCCATGGTATATTATTCAATATTCTTCGCCAACACCGTAATTTAAAGGCATCAGTTCTTCTCTGGTCTTCCTTATTCATTGTCCAGCTTTTGCATGCATATGAGGCAATTGAAAATACCATGGCTTGAGTCAGGCGCGTCTTAGTCCTCCAAGTGACATCTTTGCTTTCCAACATTTAAAGAGGTCTTTTGCAGCAAATTTGCCCAGTGCAATACATGATTTGATTTCCTGACTGCTGCTTCCGTGGACGTTGATTGTGGGTCCAAGTAAAATGAAATCCTTGACAATTTCAGTCTTTTCTCCATTTATTGTGATGTGTCTTATTGGTGCAGTTGTGAGGATTTTTGTTCTCTTTATGTTGAGGTGCAATCCATACTGAAGGCCGTAGTCTTTGATCTTCCACAGGTATAGGGGTGAAGATTTACAACACATATTTTTAGGGAGCATAAATCAGTCCATACAAAGGAAGAATCACTGTGGCTAATGCTGGCTAGAGCTCAGCCACCTGTTGGGGTGTCTCGTGTCTCCGGGGTCCCCTCCACACCTTCCAGTTAGGAGAACAGTACCTCTCAGGACTTCTGTTAGACCAGAGAGGTAAACATTTGGTTCAAATCAAATTGGACTGTCATTTCTTGAGCACCTACTATATACCAGTTCCTTTGCTAAGGGCTTTAAGGAAGTGCTTCTCACACTATCCGTAGTGACAACCCGGCTTGTTTTATTGTTTTTATTTTCCAGCCCAATGTGGCAGGTACTTTTGTAAAAGACAATAAAAATGAATTGCAGGAGGGGAAGTGATTGCTCAGGAAGCATGGAGTTTCTGTTTGCGGTGACAGGAAGTTTGGCAGTGGATATTGGTGATGATTGTACGACATGCTTAATATAATTGATGTCACTAAATTGTACACGTGAAAAACGTTGAATTGGCAAATTGGTGCTATATGTACATTTACAACAATTTTAAAAAGATGTTAAGGAAATGAATTGTGGGAAAAATGAAATGGAAAATCACAGAAAATACAAGCTCTACCTCATGGGCAACACCCTCCCAGAAGCAAAGGTGAGAAGTCAGAAAGGGACAGGAAACCTGGACAAATGGACGTGGGAACCCCAGGGTGGAAGGGGAAAGGGGACGAGTGCTGACACACTGCAGGGATTGCAACCAATGTCACAAAACAATTTGTGTATGAATTTGTGAATGAGAAACTAATTTGGGCTATAAACTTTCACCTAAAACACAATAAAAAAAAGCTCCCCTTAAAAAAATAAATAAATCCAAAGCTCAGAAGGGAAAAAAAATACAAGCTCCAATTTTTTCAAAAATTATTCAAAAGGCATAAAATGTGACGTCAGATTGTTCTGGAAGTTTCTAAGTGTTCCTTCTCTTTCTCTACTCATGTCCCATGTGCCGACGCAGGCTGGCCGTCCAGGCACCACCCTCTGAATAGCACCTGAGTCTTGACTTTGCCCCATAGGTGTGCAGACCATTGTGAAGATTAATCTGGAGGTGGGGCATCCCCTGGTGGAGGGTCCTAGAAGTGGCTAAAAGGAATTTTAGGGGTCTAGCTGGTGCCTCAGGGGGACCCAACTAAGGGGACCAGTCCACTGAGACCTGAGGTTGGGGCTGGACCGTGTAGCCTCGAATGCTCAGAGGAGAGATTTAACTCCTGAGCAAGCAGAGATGCCGTTAGATTCCAGTTTGAGGAAGATCTTGCTGAAGCGTGTGTCTTTGTAGGCTTTGTCCTCTTTTTGGGGCAGGGACTGAGGCTGATACAGAAATAAGCCTAGAGGCAGGGAGACCCTTAAGGAGGCCAGAGATGCCTAGGACTAGGGGAGGGCCATGGGATAGGGTGGCCAGACGTGGGCGACATTTTGAAGGATGGACTCGTGCATCAATTTGTAGTCAAAAGGCTGGAAGAGGCAGGTTGCTAGAAGCAGCTTCCCACTCACGCTTGTAAATGGCGGGCCTGGTGTGGATCCCACCTCCGCCAGCCTCTTGCTGTGGGCCCGAGATGACCTCTGAGCCTCGTTTTCCTCGTCCGTGAAAATGGCGATTGACAAAAACACATGCCATAAAAACAGACAAGGGCATTAAATAACAAAACCTCAGAATGACGTGAAGTGCGTACTGAGTACCGACTACATTCCAGGCGCCGTTTAAACATACGCGTGATCCCGTGACCACTTATGAGGTAGGTGCTGTGATCATCCTCGGTGTACACATAGGAAAAGTGAGGCACAGAGAGGTCTGGTAACCTGCCCAAGGTCACACAGCGAGTGAATGGTGGAGCTGGGATTCGAAACAGGGATTCTTCCAGAAACCATAATTTTAGCCATACATTAATGCAGCCACCATGAACCGTCCACCGCAGAGCTTGGTGCAGTTGTTCGTTGCTGTCGAGTGAGCTCTGATTCCTGGTGATCTTGTGTGTAACAGAATGGAACGATTTGTTTTTCTTTATTATGGGTCTTGAGCAATCAGTCCTCTTTTTTTTTTTTTCTTCTGTGGAGTAAACTGAGGCTCAGAGAGGGACAGGAGATTGCCTGAGGACCCCCAGCTCTGCAGAGCACGTGGGATAATAATCGCCATCATAGCACTTCTTGAGTACAGGCAATTGTTCTGGGCATTTTGCATGAGCTAGCTCATTTAATCCTCAAATAACCCTATGAGGTGAAGACTTAACAATTATCTTTATTCTATGGATGAAGAGAAGGAGCCCTGGTTGCACAATGATTAAGCTCTTGGCTGCTAACCTAAAGCTTAGGTTAACTTAAAGCTTAAAGGCAGTTCAGATCCACCAGGCATTCCACTGGAGAGAGTTGTAGCACTCTGCTTCCTTAAAGATTACGACCTTAGAAACCACATGGGTCAGTTCTCCTCTGTCCCACAGGGTCACTGTGAGTCAGAATTGACTCAACGACAGTGGGTTTATGGATGAGGAGGAAGAATTCCTGGGTGGTGCAGACAGTTAATGTGCTCGGCTGCTAACTGAAGGTTAGAGGTTTGAGTCCACCCAGAGGTGCCATGAGTCCTACCCTCTGCTCTCTCCTCTTCCCTCCCAGGCTGAGAACCTCTTGCTGGACGCCGAGGCCAACATCAAGATCGCCGACTTCGGCTTCAGCAACGAGTTCACGCTGGGCTCGAAGCTGGACACGTTCTGCGGGAGCCCCCCATATGCCGCCCCAGAGCTGTTCCAGGGGAAGAAGTATGACGGGCCAGAGGTGGACATCTGGAGCCTCGGCGTCATCCTGTACACCCTCGTCAGTGGCTCCCTGCCCTTTGACGGGCACAACCTCAAGGTGCCGGGCAGGGCTGGGCACGGGGGTCTTACTCTCCAGGAGAGGGTCTGTCTGGCCCCTACAATCAGGTCCCACCCTCCCACATCTCCTTGAAGGGGGTCAGAGGAATGTGTTAACCTGAAGTCACAGGGCAAGATGGGAGTCAGGATCCAGGTTCCCCCCGCCAAGGAGACCAGACGGAGCGGACCGTCATGTGCCATGGCGGAGGGTGTGGGCTTTGCAGCTGGCAGGCTTAGTTCTAATCCTGGCTCACTCAGTAAATGTGAATTGTCCAACTGCTGTGCATCGGGCGTGATTTAGGCTTTGCAAATACGGCAGTGAGTGAATAGACAGACAAAATCCTTGCCCTCGTACGTGCTACAAGAGGGACGAACATTGAAAATGTGATGCCAGGTAAAAGTGTGCTGCCTGTTGGTAGGTGTCGTCCAGGCAGTTCTGACTCATAGTGACCCCGTGTACAACAGGACGAAACACTGCCCGGTCCTGTGCCATCCTCACAGTCGTTATGTTTGAGCCCATTGTTGCAGCCACTGTGTCAGTCCATCTTGTCGAGGGTCTTCTACTTTCTCGCTGACCCTCTGCCTGGGTAGCGCAAATGATTAACACGCTCAGCTGCTAACTGAAAGGTCCATGGTTCGAATCCACCCAGAGGCACCTTGGAAGAATGGCCTGGCGATCTGCTTCTGAAAAATCAGGCATTGAAGACCTGGGGAGCATAGTTCTACTCTGCACACATGGGGTCACCATGAGTCGGAGTCGACTCATGGCAGCTAACAACAAATTGCAGGACGTCCCTCAGTTTGGGCTGTCTGATGTTTCCTCGTGATTTGATGCAGGTGGGGCATTTCAGGTGGGAATTCCACAGCAGGAACATTCTGCACTGCTCAGTGCAGCCCCTGGGGGAGCATGGTGACTTTAAATCAGGGGCCAGGGAAGTTCTGGCTGAGGAGAGGACACCAGAGGAGAGACCTGCATGATGAGGAGAAAGCAGCCCCTCTTCATGGTGGCCAGAATCCCTGTGAGCCTCAGTCTCCCCACTCTGTTCAATGGCCCCAACCTTGCAGGAGTGATTCAAGGACCCACTGAGCTCAAGGATGCAGAGTACTCGCTTAGCACAGCGCCTGGCCCTCGGAAACTACCTGGAACCTGGGGGGCTCCTTGCATGGGATAATCTTTTTGAGCCCCAAAGGTGAAGCCAGGAGACCTTTGAAAAGGCCAGGCCAGTGTCCCCCTGCCCCAGGCCTTGTCACCTCCTGCCGTCCTGATTTCCCCACCAGCCACCGCAGGCCTTGCTGGGGTGAAGGAGGCGTGCAGCCTGGGGCAGATCTTGGCTCTGTCACGTCCTTGCTGCGTGACTTTGGACAAGTCCCTTTCTGAACTTCACCTGTAAGATGGGGACAATATGAGTATCCTCTTGCAGCTGAGCTGAATATGTAAAGCCCTTCACTGGGCCCTGGCATGTGGCCAGGGTGTCACACTCTGGTGGTGGTGGCAGTGGCCTGGTTGCCTCTTCACTGTCCCGTGACAGACACAGTGACACAGTTACACAGCCCAAGCTCTGGAGCCAGATTCCCTGGGTTTGAACCCAGGCTCTGCTGCTTTCTGGCTGTGCAACCTTGGGTAGGTGGCTTACCCTCTCTGGGCCTTGGTTTCCCCATCTGGAAAATGGGTATAATAACCCTGCTTCCTAGCACTGTTGGGAAAATGGGTGTAAGATACGTAAAGTGCTTAGAGCTCGTCTAGGGCAGGTGCTCTGAAAGTGATACTTATTGTTAACTATTCATGAGCCTGGGGCTGTAATGATCTGCAGCCCAGAAATCTCCCAGGCACACGTCTTCCCGCCCTTTGAGGAGAACGCCCTGGGAGGCAGCTCCCAGCCCAGTCCCTGACAGAGGGCTCCACCCCAGGAGACCCCCGTGCACCCACCCCTCCATTTTCTGTCACCCTCAGTTCTTTCGGCAAAACGGAAGCCCCCGCCCCAGTCTGCCATGCCGTGGTACCTGGAATTTATTTTATTTTTCAAAGCTTTGGTGGGGTCCTTCGTGAAAAACTCATTTAAAAAAATAAGCGCATATAAATCAGTGCAGGCCTTTGAGACCATCGGAATTGTGGGTCTTTGGAAACACAGGCATAGCTTCTCAGAGGGTCGGGAGGAGAGGAGGGAGAGGGGAGTGGGAGGGAAGAGGGTGGGAGGGAGAAAGGCGGTGAGCAGGATCCCTTTTCCCCCTCCCCTTATGGCTAGCTAACATTTAGATAGCTCTTGCTCCAAACCAAGCACGTGCTAAGCGTTTTACACATATGCAGGATACCCGGCTTCTGTTCCCAGCCCGTGCACCTCATGCACAGCCACCACTCGTCTGTCGGTGGAAGCTTGCGTGTCGCTATGATGCTGAAGACGTTTCAGCGGAGCTTCCAGACTAAGCGTGAATCAACTCAATGGCAATGGGTTTTTTCAGACTAAGATGGACTAGGAAGAAAGCCTGGTGATCAACTTCGTATACATCACAACAGTCCGATCCTGTTGTGTATGGGGCCGCTATGACTCAGTGGCCGACAACAACATACGAACTTATTTATACCCTGGCAGCATCCTTACGGGGTGGGTACTGTGACCCCTGTTTACAGATAAGGAGACTGAGGCCCCAGAGGCCAACTCAGTTGCCCACTTCCCTTTTAATCTGTCTTATAGAATTCACTTTCTCTGTAAGATTTTATTTGAGTAAAAAGTTATGTAGCTTAAAAATTTTTTTTTTGAAAACTGCTGCATCTAGTACAGTGTTCCCATTTTACAGGTGGGAAACTGAGGTCAGAAAAGGGCATGGGGTTTTGCTCATCTTATCAGGGCTGTCGATTTTGTCAGGAGTTGGGTGAAGATGAGTGTGTATATGTGGTGTATATATGTGTGTGGTATGTATTTGTGTGGTATGTGATGTGTGTCTGGTGTGTGGCATGTATATATGTGTTGTGTGTGGTATGTGTATCTGTGTGATGTGTGTATGTATGTGGGGTGTGAGGTGTGTGTGGTATATGGATTTGTGTGGTGTGTGTGTATGTATGTCGTATATACGTGGTGGGTGTGTGTATGTGTGGTATGTGGGTATTTGTGTGTGTGTGTATTTAGTGTGTGGGGTGTGTGGATTTAGTGTGTGGGATGTGTGGATGCATGGGGGGGTGTGGATGTATGTGGGATGTGATGTGTGTGGTGTCGGGGGGTATGTATTTACGTCATGGATGTAGTGTGTGGGTGTGTGGTAGGTGTATCTATGTGAGGTGTGTGTGTGGTCTGTGGGGAGTGTGTATATTTATGTGGTATGTGTATATGTATGTGGTATGTGGTGTTTGTATGATGTGTGTATGGTGTGTGTATGTATGTGGTGTGTGTGTAGTGTGGGGGAGTGTGGGGGATATATGTGGTATGTGATGTGTGTGGTATGCAGTGTGTGTGTGGTGTTTGGGGGATGTGTATTTCTGTGGTGTGTAGTGTGTGGGGTGGGTGTAGGGTGTGGGCTGTTAGTAGGTGTGAGGTGTGTATGTGGTATGTGGGGTGTGTGTGATGTATGTATGGTGTGTGTATGTGTGTGGTGTGTGTGTAGTATGTGAGGGTGTGGGGTGGGTTATGTGGTATGTGATGTGTGTGTGGTGTATGTGTGTGAAGTGTGTATATGGTATGTGGGGTGTGTGTGATGTGTGTATGGTGTGTATGTGTAATGAGTGGGGAGTTAGAAAGCTAGGGAGACAGGGCGGACCCTCACCTGTGATGCCTTCCCCCCAGGAGCTGCGGGAGCGAGTCCTCAGAGGGAAGTACCGGGTCCCTTTCTACATGTCCACTGACTGTGAGAGCATTCTGCGTAGATTTTTGGTGCTGAACCCAGCGAAACGCTGTACTCTTGAGGTGAGCCCCAGCCCCACACCCCCAGCTCCTCTCCCATCACCTGACCCACCAAACCTTGCCTGCCCCCCACTAGCCTTCTCACCCTTCCCTTTCCCCTCCACACCCACCTGTCTGAGATCCGCTGCAGGTGGGTAGGGTAGACGGGCCACCCAGGGGAGACTCCAGGCCTGCCCTGACGCCACCCCCCAGCAGCCTCCCCCACACCCTGCCATGCCAGTAATTAGCTAATGAGCTCCTACGATGATTACAGGGTGCCAGGGACCCAGATGATGCAGAGGAGGGGGTGGCATCAGGAGGCTCACAGGGAGGGGGTGCGAGGAGGCAGTAGCACTCAGGCACCCTTGATTCTGGGGTGTTAAGCCCTGGAGGTATGGGGCAGGGCCTGCCTGGGATGGGGGGAGCTATATTTTCCCCAGTTCCTTCTGACATCTGTCTTTCCCCTTCCGTGCCCCTGGTTCCCACAGCAAATCATGAAAGACAAGTGGATCAACATTGGATATGAGGGTGAGGAGTTGAAGCCATACACAGAGCCCGAGGAGGACTTCGGGGACACGAAGCGAATCGGTGAGGGGCAGGGAGGGTGGGGGCCCCATGTCCTCAGGGCTTTGGGCAATGGAGCCACGGGGCAGGAGCCTCCCAGTACCAACCACTTTAGATAATATCAGAGTAGCCTGCGAGGCAATTAGAGAAAGTGGAGAAAAGCCAGGGCTCAGATCCCAGTGCTGCCACTTTCTAGCTGTGTGACCCTGTGAAAGTGGCTTTCCCTCTCTGTGCTTTTATTTCCTCATCTGTAAAATGGTCATGGAAGGAGCCCTGGTGGTGCAGTGGTTAAGTACTTGGCTGCTAACTGAAAGGTTGGTGGTAAAACCCACCCAGCAGCTCCATGGGAGAAAGACCTGGCTATCTGTTCCTATAAAGATTACAGCCTAGGAAACCCTATGGGGCAGTCCTACTCCATCACACATGGGGTTGCCATTAGTCAGAATTGACTCAGCAGCACCCAGTAACAATAACAAAAGGGTCCTGGAGTCCTCGAGTGGTACAAATGGTTAATGTGCTCAGCTGAACAGTGAGGTTCAAGTCCACCCAAAGGCTCCTGGGAAGAAAGGCCTAATGATCTACTTCCGAAAAAATCAGCAGTTGAAAACCCTGTGGCACACAGTTCTACTCTGCACACGTGGGGTCTCCATGAGTTGGAATCAACGCGATGGCAACCGGTTTTAAAATGTTCATAATCTTAGACCCTACCTCAGAGAGTTGTTGAAAAAAACACGAACCAAACCTGTTGCCATTGAGTCGATTCCAACTCGTAGTGACTCTATAGGACAGAGTAGAACTGCCGCCATAAGGTTTACAAGGCTCTAATCTTAACAGAAGCAGACTGCCACATCTTTGTCCCATGGAGTGGCTGTTGAGTTCAAACCGCTGACCTTTTGGTTAGCAGCCGAGCACTTTAACCACTGTGCTTCCAGGGCTCCTTTTCAGAGAGTTGTTAGGGATATTAAAAGAGTTCATCTACATAAAGCACTTATGTTAGTGCTGGATACGCGTTAGCTTTTAATATTTAAGACAAGAAAGAGAAAAAAAGGAACAACCAGAATGGAAATATTGAGAATACTCATGGATTGTGAAGACTGTAACCAATGTCACTGAACAATTTGTGTAGAAATTGTTGAAAGGCAACCTAAACTGCTGTGTAGACCTTCACTGAAAACATAATAAAATATTATTTAAAATAAAAAAAAGATTACAGACCACTTCTAGAAGAAGTTGGGCACAAGTCGTTGGAGATCTGCCTGGTTGGAGAATTCCTCGCCATGGTACATGCCTCACCTGTCCCCCCTTGGGTCCTGGTCCCTCCAGCCTAGAACCTTAGGACTCTTGTTCCCCAAAGCATGTGCCCTGGAAGAACCCCTTGGAAACCAGCCAGTCCTTCCATTCTACAGATGAGGAAACTGAGGTCATCATCAGATCTTGGCTGCATAAATGAGGACTTTCATGGTTGGGAGTAACAGTAAACCCAAATCCAATCTGGCTTACGCTAGATAATAATAACAATAATGTTGTTAGCTGCCGTCAAGTAGGTCCTAACTCATGGCGACCCCATGCACAACAGAAGGAAATGCTGCCCGGTCCTGCGCCATCCCGTGATCAACTGGAGACTGGACCGTTGCGATCCGTAGGGTTTTCATTGGCTGATTTTCGAAAGTAGGTCACCAGGCCTTTCTTCCTAGTTTGTCTTAGTCTGGAAGCTCCACTGAAACCTGTTGAGCATCATAGCAACATGCAAACCTCCACTGACAGAGAGGTGGTGGCTGTGCATGGGGGGCGTGGAAGGCAAGAATTCTACCACTGAACCCCCAGTGCCTCACAATGGTAATAATAGGTTGAACCATAGGAAATTGACATCTTTGGGGTCAAAAACTGTCAACATTAGCAATTTCTTGTGGTTCAACCTAATAGTAATAATTTATTGTTTCACATAAATGAAAAGGCCAGGGATGTGTCCAGCTTCAGGTACAGCTGGATCCAGGTGTTCAGAGACCAGTGGCTCCTTTCCCAGGCAATTCTCGCCACCAGACATAAGCTGACAACAGCATGTCCTAGGGGCCTGGACACCTCATCAGAAAGAGAGACCCCTTTCTCATGCACCAGTAGAAGCCTGAGGGTGATGCCCATTAGCTACCCTGAACCAATCACTGTGGCTTTGTGAATGGGACACTGTGATTGGCCAGACCTAGGTCATATGCTCACCCTTGGGGCTCGGAGAGGACATGGCACGAACAGTTAAGCACTTAGCTGCTAACCAGTAGGTTGGCAATTCAAGTCTATCCTCAGAAGAAAAGCCTGGCAGTCAACTTCCCAAAAACCAACCACTGAAAACCGTATGGAGCACCATTCTACTCTGACACACATAGGGTCGCCATGAGCCAAACTGACTTGAAAGCAACTTTTTTTTGAGGGGAAAGGCTTGGTGCAGGCAAGGGTCAGCCAGATGATCTGAGGAGGGACAGAATGTTCTTCCAAGGAAAATCAGGGAATGGATCCTGGACAGGCCCGAGAGCAGACACTGACGTGGCATGGAAACAGATGGAAGGGAAGGAAGGGTCTGGAGAGACTGACCCTCCCCTCTCTCCATCCCCTTCCCCCAGAGGTGATGGTGGGCATGGGCTACACACGGGAAGAAATCAAAGAGGCCTTGACCAGCCAGAAGTACAACGAAGTGACCGCCACCTACCTCCTGCTGGGCAGGAAGACTGAGGTCAGAGGTCACCTTTGGGCGCGCGATGCCCAGGGCGGAGGGACTCAGGGGCAGATGGGATGGGGGCTGAGGCTTCTCGTCTGTTGTCCTCCCACAGGAGGGTGGGGACCGGGGCGCCCCAGGACTGGCCCTGGCACGGGTACGGGCCCCCAGCGACACCACCAATGGAACGAGCTCCAGCAAAGGTGCCAGCCACAGCAAAGGGCAACGGAGTTCCTCTTCCACGTACCACCGCCAGCGTCGGCACAGTGACTTCTGTGAGTATCGGCCCCACACCCTCTGTCTGAGCTAGCTAATGCTGCTGTAACACAGACAGCACAAGTGGCTGGCCTTACAGAAGAGAAATTTATTTTCTCACAGTTCTGGAGGCAGACAGTCCAAATCAGGATCTTGGCTGTGATTCCTTTCTTGTTGATATCCATTACTCATTGCCATCAAGTCCGTTCCAACTCATAGCGACCCTGTAGGACAAAGCAGACTGCCACATCTTTCTCCTGTGGAGCAGCTGGTGGGTTTGAACTGTGGTCCTCTCAGTTAGCAGCCAAGCGCTTTAACCACTGTGCCAGCAGGGCTGCTTCCTTGTCGGTAGCCTCAGGCGTTCCTTTGTTCGCTTCCTTCCTTATAGGTTGTCGTTGTTGTCATTAGTTGTCCTGTAGTCGATTCTGACTCATGGCGACGCCATGTTTGCGGAGTAGAACTCAAGGCTGTGACCTTTCAGAAGCAGATTGCTGGCTTTCTTCCAAGCATCTCTGGGTTCAAACCACCAGCCTTTCGGACTTCATAACCCTGGGCGTGGTGCTTGGTGAGCCTCACGTGGTATCTGTCTTCTTCCCCAGCCTCTGCTTTCATCTGTGTCTAATCTGCTCTTTTTATAACTCAGAAGTGGTTAGGTTTAAGACACACCCTACGCTGATTAAAAACCTCATTAACATAACAAAGAAAACGCTGTTTCCAAACAGGATTACATCCACAGGTGTTAGATTTCCAACATGAATTTTGGGGGGGCACAATCCATAACACCTTCACACTGCCACCCCTTGGCCCTGCGTTCTTAGATCTGTGTTACGTCAGGTTGTCTGGCTTATAAGCAACAGAAACCCATTGAAGCTAAGTGTAGCGAAGAGAGGAATGTTTTATAAAGATGCAGAGCCGCTGAGTGGAACTTGGAGGCAGGAATGCAAAGCCGGTCTGGGAAGGGACCAGAAACCAGAAAAGGAGCCGGATGCAGAGCAGACTCTCTCCGTGTCCTGTTTCCTCTCTGCTCGTCTGCTTTTCCTTTGTCTCTTACTTACCTCACCTTTTTCCTGATCTGTCAGCTCCCACTTTCTTCCATTATCCTAGTTTTAGAGACCGACCCAAATGGTGGCTGGAATCTCTGGTCTACATATCATGGATGGAGCTCTCATATCAGGATCCCAGCCCATCCATTGCCATCGAGTCAATTCCAACTCATAACGACCCTATGGGACAGAGTAGAACTCCCCATAGGGTTTCCAAGGCTGTAAATCTTTATGGAAGCAGACTGCCACATCTTTGTCCTGTGGAGCAGCTGGTGGGTTCAAACTGCCAACGTTTCAGTTAGCAGCCAAGCACTTTAACCACTGAGCCACCAGGGCTCCTGATATCAGGGTCCAGCTGGGATTAATCCACTGTGAATGGGGCATGGGAGGACACATTGCACAAAGTGGCTTCTGGGAGCCTGCTCTCTACCTTCTCCATGCTGAGATGATGGGAAGCCATTCCTAGTGAAAGGGATCTGGGCAGACAACCTGATTGTATCCTGTATCCTGCAACTCACAGACGTCTCATCCCCTGAAGAATATAAATAGACACCCATACACACACAAAAATTTGACATAGAAGCTTTTGAGGCCTGTTACCCACACCCTTATCAAATGTTAATCCTCTCCATTATTTTTTAAAACAACTTTCTTAGATGTAATTCACATACTGTACAATTCACTCATTTAAAGTGTACAATTCAGTGGCTTTGAGGATCTTCACAGAGTTGTGTATCTATTACTGCAGTCAAATTTAGAACATTTTCATCACCTCTAAAAGTAACCCAACATCTCTTAGCCATCATCCCCTATTCCCCTACTTTCCCCCCAGCCCTTGGCAACCGCTAATGCACTTTCTGATCTGTGATTTGCCTATTCTGGACATTACCTGTAAATAGAATCATATAAGTGACCTTTTAGATCTCACTTCTTTCATTTAACATCATGTTTTCTAGATTCATCCACATTGTAGCACGTATCAATGCCTCAGTCCTTTTTTTTTTTGATTGTGCTTTAGGTGAAAATTTACAGCTCAAGTTAGTTTCTCATTCAAAAATGTATACACAAATTGTTTTGTGACATTGATTGCAATCCCCACAATGTGACAACACTCTCCCCCTTTCCCTTTGCACCCCAGGTTCCCCATTTCCATTCATCCAGTTCTTGTCTCTTCTTGCCTTCTCATCTTGCTTTTGGGCAGCAGCTGCGCATTTGGTCTTGTGTATCTGATCGACCTAAGAAGCATATTCCTCACATGTGTCATTGTTTGTTTTACAGGCCTGTCTAATCTTTGGCTGAAAGGTGGGCTACAGGAGTGGCTTTGGTTGAGTTAGCAGGGTGTCCAGGGGCCGTAGTTTCAGGCGTTCCTCCAGCCTCTGTTAGACTAGTCAAGTCTGGTCCTTTTTTGTGAATTTGATTTTTGTTCTGCATTTTTCTCCTGCGCTGTCCTGGTCAGTCCTTTTGATGGCCACATAACATTTGATTGTTTGGCTAGACCATGTTTTATTCATCCATTCATCAGTTGTTTGGACATTTGGCTTGTTTCACTGTTTGGCTGTTATGAATAGTGCTGCTGTGAACATTCCTGTACAGGTTTTTGTGTGGGTATATGCTGTATATATATGTATACCGTCAAATGTGGGTATATGCCTAGGAGCGGAATTGCTGGGTCAGATGGTAATTGTATGTTTGCCTGTTTGAGGAACTGCCACAGTGTTTCCAAAATCTGCCCTATTTTTCCAGCCCTGCTGCTTTATTCTGGGATGGGCACTGGGGTGGGGAGAGGGCTGTCAGGAAGTTCACATGAGCCCTGAGCAGGAAGTGCCAGGTTCTGCCCCTGGTTCCATCATCACTGTCTTCCTCAAGCCATTCCCCTTCCCTGGGTCTCATTTTCTCCATCTTTAAAGTAACAAGGTGGCCCAGAAAAGTCCCTAAGGAACATGTGATTCCAATATCCTATAGTTAGAACATTAATAAAACTCTGACTCATGGCGAACCCCTGTGTGTCAGAGTAGAACTGTGCTCCATAGGGTTTTATTTTTAAAAAAATATATTTTATTGTGCTTTAGGTGACGGTTTACAGAGCAAAATAGTTTCTCATTCAACAGTTTGTCCACAGAATGTTCCGGGACATTGGTCGCAGTCGCCTCAATGTGTCAGCACTCTCCCTATTTCTGCCCTGGGTTCCCCGTTACCTTTCGTCCGGTTTTCCTACCCCTTCCTGCCTTCTCATCTTTGCTTTGGGCAGATCTTGCCCTTTTGGTCTTGTATAATTAACTCTCCTAAGGAGCTCATTCCTCTTGGGTGTTGTTTATTTTGTAGGCCTGTCTATTGTTTGGCTGAAAGGTGGTCTCCAGGAATGGCTTCAGTTCCATGTTAGAAGAGTGTCTTAGGTCTGTAGTCTTGGAGGTTCCTCCAGTCTGTATCAGACCAGTAAGTCTGGTCTTTTTTTATGGATTTGATTTTTATTCTACATTTTTCTCCCACTCTGCCTGGGACCCTCTATTGTGATCCCTGTCAGAGTGATCAGTGGTGGTAGCTGGGCACCGTCTAGTTCTTCTCATCTCAGGCTGGTGTAGGCTGTGGTTCATGTGGTCCAATAGTCCTTAAACTAATTGCCCCACTGAGTCTTCAGTTTTTTCCTTCCATAGAGTTTTTATTATTATTTTTTATTTATTGTTGTGCATTCATCCATAGAGTTTTCAGTGGCTGATATTTTAGAAGTAGAGCACCAGGCCTTTCTTCCAAGGCACCTCTAGGTGGACTTGAACTGCCAACCTTTCAGTTAGCAGCCAAGCATGTTAACTGTTTGTACTACCCAGGGACTCTAGTGAGAATGTCATAACCTTTAAAAATCTTCACGTGAAGACCTGGCTTCCAGGGCTTCTTGGGATAAAGGATTATTGGCAGGCCTGGGTTTCTGTCACTGTTGTATTCCATCCTTGTTATTCTGTCATTGTTATGGTCCTGGGACTTTTGAATCCTTAAGATTCCTGAGGATTTAACATGCAAAAGTTCTAGAACGCTTTTAACCCCCTGCTTCTAGAGCTGTAGATCTCTAAGAGGTTCTGAGGTACTAGATTTTTTTAATATTGTTCTGTTTTTGAAATTGTTAATAGAATCGCATGCTTCAAAACTCGATAGTACGAAAAGGGGTATTGTTGCTGTCAAGTCGATTCTGATTCCTGGCAGCCCCACGTGTGCAGAGTAGAACTGCTCCCTAGAGTTTTCAAGGCTGTGACCTTTTGGAAGCAGATCACCAGGCCTGTCTTTCGAGACACCTCTGGGTGGGTTCAGACTGCCTGTCTTTTGGCTAGTAGTTGAGCGCTTAACCATTTGCACCACCCAGGGACTCCTACAGAAAATGTGGACAGTGAAAATGTCTTTGTTCAGCACATGCCCCACCTCCCACCCCAGCCTCCCAGTTCCTCTTCCTGGAGGCAGTTGCTGTTGACAGTTTTATATGAATTCTTTTGGAGATATTTTATTCATGTACAAAGAAATATA